ATTGCTTGGGTCATTTTTTTTATGTAGCCCCTAGCTAATAGGTAATCTTTCCTTGAAAAGATAAAGAGTTCCTCAGTCTGGAGAATCCCTGGCCATTCAAATAATGATTTGATTTCTAAATTTCTAAAGCAGCTTTCACAGGGAAATTTAAGAGTTCATCTATATAACTTGTAACATTTTTACTACTGAACAGAAAAAAATTACCTGTAATTAAATTGTTTGTATATGCCACTTTATAGAAAGATATTATAATTTTTTTTAAATTAGTTTTGCAGAAATATTAACACTATTATAGCCAGAACTTCTAATTGCCTAACAAATTTGTGAAGCGGTTTTGCAGAAATGACTGTAAAATAGTTTGTTTCCGTCGTATCCAGATTCCGGCTAAGCTGCTGGCATTTCTTTTGTTGGGCTTGTCCCTAAATGCCCTGGCTGGCCTCTGTGGTCAGCTCTCCCTGCTGCTTGTGTATGTTTCTGTTGCATGGTAATGGCTCTCAAATTAGCCGGCAAAAGCCTGGCTAATTTGCTTCCTAGCCCTTTTGTGTTTCAGTGGAACTTTATTAAGATGTCTTTCTATCTGAATGAACCACATAACATAACCTCAGCAACACTTCGGAACAGATTTCTGTGGAAACAGTTTATGAAGCAAAGCACAGAACTGATGGCAATTATGGATAGTATGGGGGCGAGTTAGATAGGTTTTGTGTTTTGTTTTTTTTGTAGATTATAGAAGAAAACTCAAGACTTGGTGAAAACCTTTTATACATGGGGATAAGTTTAAGTTAATGGTGGTATGGTTCAAATACTGTCTGCCCGGTAATACTCCTGGGACTTTGAACCCGTTATTCAGAGTGCCTTTTGAAATGGAACCCCTATTATGGAGATACTCCTACAGTATTAGTTTATATCATTACTTTATATTAGTTGCTCATGTTGACTTGCCACTTGTATAAGTTCAGAGATACGGCAATTATTTAGCAGGGGTGTGGAAATTTTTGAAAAAACTACTTGTCAAAGGACTAAAGCGGGGGCCGAATCTACTTGTCCCTCATGACAATCTACTTGTCCTGATGAAAATTATTTTTTTTCTAAACCAAAACCGTATTTAGTAGAGCCAAGAAGCGCTTCTCATTGGTCAGTGCCATCGGGTGACTGCGTTGACCAACGAGTGCTTGCAATTTGCAAGCGAAATTCACAATACATGGAACAGTTACAGATAGTACACACGTACTGGTGGACGGGAAGGACCGTTCGCCAAAAGGTAAGTATAGTGGGAGGGAGATTTGTGTGGGTAATTCCATGGGGTTACATCTGCGTGGCAATTGCTGAAAAAAAGGTAGCTGTGCCTATTTTCACGGCATGCACCGCGCAGTGTTTTCAACTGTGATCGTGTGTTTTCAACTGTGATCGTGTGGGATCGCCCGGGTGGTATTGCAGCAGGAAAACGCGCAATCTGCCTGGCACGACTGGGGTGCCATTAGAAAATGGCACTGACAGCACGATCGGCGGTGGTGTGCAATTCCGTGACCACCCAGCCATCCACTCGGTTTCGTGCACGATGACCGGGCAGTCGCAGATTGCACACCCCTGCCGATCGCGCTGGCAGTGCCATTATTTTCTAATGGCACCCCAGTCATGCCAGGCAGATTGCGCGTTTTCCTGCTGCAATACCGCCCTGCCCTTCCGGTTGCACGCGTTTGCAGTTGAAAACACTGCACGTTTATTCGCATGCAGATGGGGCAGCGGAGCTGGTTTTAATTTTTTATTTACTTTTGTAAACATTTTTTATTTGTTTTATTATTTTTACTTAAAGGAGAACTATGAGGTGAGTGCTTTTCACTCACCTCATAGTTCTAGCCGACCTGTGAAACTGTCACAGGTCGGCTCAGTAGATTGGGAGGTGAGCGAACACATACCGGCGTTCGCTCACCTCTCGATCCTGTCACGGCTATCTGCCGTGACAACCCCCCGCTCCGATCCGCCTGCACTGACTGGTGGAACGGACGGGGGAGGGGGCGGGTACAGCTGGCTCTGCCTCTAGATAGGCAGAGCCAGCTGTCAGTCACGCAGCTGGGCGGATCCAGACATAATTGTGGGGACCTGCTTCAGCTGCGGCGTCTTAGTATACAGCGAGCAGCTGGGGAAAAGCCTTAAAGGAGAACTATGGGGTCAGGGCTTTTCCCCATAGTTCTCCTTGGGGTAACGGGAGGACACAAACTAGCGTCCACCCTAAGCTCAGTATACCGCGAGCTACAGCTCGCGGTATACTGAGACGCCGAAGCGGATCCCAACATCGATGTCGAGATCCGCCAAGCTGCGTGAGTGACAGCTGGCTCTGCCTATCTAGAGGCAGAGCAAGCTGTACCCTCCCCCGTCCGTTCTGCCAGACAGCGCTGGCGGATCGGAGCGGGGAGGGAGGAATCCATCCCCTCCCCTGTCATGGCGGAGAGCCGTGACAGGATTGAGAAGTGAGTGAACACCGGCATGTGTTCGCTCACCTCCCGATCTACTGAGCCGACCTGTGACAGTCTCATTGTCACAGGTCGGCTAGAACTATGAGGTGAGTGTAATCACTCACCTCATAGTTCTCCATTAACCCCATAGTTCTCCTTTTAATCGCCTTTTTATTTTTTACACATTTATATTTAGTTACATTGTTACTTATTATTATTTTTTTTAACTTAACTGTATTGCTATCACACAGGGAATAATAATCCCTTGTTTGATAGCATTTGGAGGGGACAGGTACTCTTTATTGACCCTGTCACCTCCAACACAGAAGCTCTAGCACAGCACTGTGCTGGAACTCCTGTGACAGGAACGAGCAGCGTCCGCCGGGAACAGAGGCTGAGGGAGGTGACAGAGCCTGTCACAGCTCCACCGTCCGGCTTTGTCACCGCTCCGTCAAGGCTCCACACCCCTGCTCCGTCATGGCTCCACGCCCTCCGTTCCGTCCTCAGAGCTCAGTCTCCACGCTCCGTTCACGCCCCCCCGCTCTCGGCTCTCCACGCCCCCCGCTCGCAGCGCCGCTCTCGGTACTCATTTACAGAAAAGAAAACCAGCCCTGCTACTTGTCCGTAGCAGGGCTAAAACAGTGAAAAAACCACTTGTCTGGAGCTACATGTCCAGGGATCGAAAGGGACACTGACTGCAGCTGGCGCCCAGCGGGGAGGAGAACAGGAGGAGCAGAGCTGATGAGGCGGGTGACAGTGAACGGGCTGCCAAATGCCCAGGCATCAGAATGCAATTTTCAGTCGCCATGGCGACCTGGCGTCTGGGATTTGTCAAGCCCTGTATTAGAAGTGCCATCACAGTTTTTATATATTTTGGGAAAAAATGGAGTAATGTCACTTATAGTCATCGTCAGTACTGATCACCTTATTCTGTACCCTATCACTCCAACAAACATTCTTAATCCCATTATGATGGAGACAGTACAGGGTTTTCTCATGATCATCTGCAAGGAAAACCCCAAAGGACTGTTTTGCTCAGCACCTTTTTAAGGTTGTAAGTCCCTTGTAAGTTTTATAAACCCTCTCGAGTAGAGCACTTGTGCATTGATCTAGCTAATATACAGAAGTGCGTGTACAAAGGAACAGTCTTATTTGTCTGGCGTGGCACCAGCCAGGGGCAGGATTGTATTTACCCAGCCATTAAGTGTAAATATGGGATTGCAAAAGAATTTAAAAAAATGTAAAAATACAATGCACGTCAATGTGCATCACAACATGTTGCAGTGCATAGAATTACACACGTTAAAAAGAAAGATAAGCCATGCTCTGCAAAGCGTTTTAACAATGCATTGATGTGCATGTTCACAGCACACACGTTATACACACAACTTGCGTGTTGTCATGTGAACGAGCCTTAATAAAGCTGTGGATAGCAGTAAAGCCCTGACAGGGATTTCAACACTTCCCCACTCTTAGAGTTTGTTTTAATTTGGGGAAGCTTGTTGTTTCCTGGTATAACGTAGATGTTCCTTGTTGCAAAACTCTCGGTATTTTATTTATTTATTTTTAATAAAGAGCATTTGCTAGCAGCTTTATATTTTATTAAAGATTTTTGTTCTTTTCCTGTGTGGAATTTGATCTGTGTCTTGTGGGCTAAGATCAATATCTATTTTGTTTGCTTAGCCTATAGGATCTCCCTAAGGAGGTAAATCAATATTGGCGTCTCGGCGTGCTCTGTACCTGCTTACTCCTTGGTGGCCATACAGGGACAGATGTCTTCAGAGAACAAAGGGATGTTAGACATCTGCCAGTCCTTGATCATGCTCAGGTCTGCCACTGAGGAAGCAACCCATCACTGCAGATTTTCCAGATAGTTGGAACATTTCTGCAATAAGAGCTTCTTATTATGGATGCGCTCATTATAAACACCTTGGGCAACCCTGTTTTGTATTTGTATTCCAGCTTTGGCATGAGCAATGTGCTAAACAAGGTTAAAGCGGACCTTTACCCATATCTTTAAAATAAGAAACTCCTTTAGAAATGTTTAGTAATGACAATCTACAAACACATCTAGATAATTGCCGGCTTTGTATTCTTTCCATACTTCATTTCTCTTTTCTTCCCCAGTGTTCTGACAGTGGCCATGTTTACTAAGGGCAGATTACTAGTTCTATTACTTCCTGGATTTCTGGCACATGTGACTAGGACATGTGACCAGGCACATCATCTCAGGGGAGGAAAATGCCTTTCCCTGAGATCTCCTGAGACTACAGTTGAGATTTCCCAGCAATGCTTTGCAAGGCAATCCCAGTGTGCAATGCTTTTGCCCTTTCAAAGCAGGAAATGTATGCTCTGCGAGCATAAATATTTAAAAATCACAGCATTTTATACCTGGCATGTCTGTTATTAATCATCATACATAGAGGGGTGCATTGGTAGAATTAGATATTTGAGTGTAAAAGTCTGCTTTAAAGTATTTTGTGTTTAATGTCATTCAGGTTAAATTTAAGGATTTCACTGATGTTTTCCAATCTTCTATGTATACAGGATCAGTTCGATAATTTAGAGAAGCACACACAATGGGGTATAGACTTCTTGGACAAATATGCCAAATTTGTGAAAGAGAGGCTAGAAATCGAGCAGAACTATGCAAAACAACTAAGGTAAGTGTCCCTTGGCTACTAATTTTCCTTCTCCTATTATACTTGTTCAGAAAAGCAGTATAATGATGTAATCTCACCTACTGCAAGCAAACAGTTATTAATTTATTGGCATTAGCTGCTTAGACTATTCTGGATTGCTTGCTGTAGGCTTAGAGCGTATCTGTTTTGCCCTGATAACCATTGTTACGAAGTCTAAAATGTTTAGGGAAAATCCAATGTTTTGAAAACCGGAATTAAGGGGAAAAGCTTTTGATTGGGTACACTTTTTCCAGTCACAATTGTACCAGGGAATTTGCTCACTTTGGAGATATTTCCTCTCCTTTCCACTTGCGTTTATGGGAGGTGATGTTTAGGGAAATCTCCCCAATTGTACACAGACGGCATTAAAAATGCACGTCAATCCATGGTATTTTTATAACCCCAAATCTATGCAAGTTCCAATAAAGCAAAAAAAAAAAAACAAATGGGTGTCTTAGAGACCCAGAACCTGCCTGTGGGGTCCTGAGCTGTAATATTTATTTAACTTCTACAAGCTAAGGAAGTATCCCTTCTGAGCAAAGGTAAGTATTGACATTTTGCTTGTTGCTTGTCATCTCATTTTGTTAATACTGCAGTTTACGCTTTTGATACGTCTCTGCCCAAGACCCGTTTACCCAGTAATGCATGAAACCTTTTTGACAGTGTCTGACCCTGACTCAGTCAGCAAATGATAGGTTTTATATGTGTGCTTAATTTGAATGCCTGCTGTTTTTAGTTGACTTTCATGACAATTTTCACCTCCCCAAAAGGAGCAATATTTAGGGAGTTTATTTTTACTGGCTTACTGTGATATAACAATCATTTCCAATTTCTGCTTTTTATTCTGAATATAAATGTAGCCTGTCATAAAAGCGAGGGCATGCAAGACCCATAAATCTGAATGCAGTTGTCATTAAAAAAAAAAAAAAGGTTCCGTTTCCTGATTGGTTACTGTTGACAGTCTAGGTTTTCTAGAAGTTTTTACTTTTTACTGGTCATTGTAAAGTACTTAAAAAAATGTACGATCTGCCCATCTTGGACAGACAGATCGTACTTGCGATCATGGGGCGTCCGATGACTGCAATGCTGAACGGGCAGTGTGCACGTGCGATATTTTTTTCATTATTTTGTTTTTCCCAGTCATCTTCCAGGATAGCAACCTGAGATGATTGGTTCTTCTCGCTACAGGAAACAAAAGCAGAAGAGTGAAAGATGCCTCCCAGCCCTCCTATACTTCACTTCAGATTGTGTCTCCTACCGTCCGGGAGCAGCAAAACCTTTGTTCTTTTTCTTATCCTGAACAAATGTCCATTGGGTCAGTGGTTCCCCTCCTGTCGCAGATTTGTTTGGCTTGTCCTGCCTTGGTCTTTCTGCTTTTTTCCCCCTACAGGATCTTGGCCCCTGTCTATTGTGGGGTTTTCTTTTCTGACCCTCTGGTGCCCATCTGGCTTTTTGCTGATTGGTTGTCTTGCTACTGTCTGAGATTTTTGTTTTCTGGTCTCCTAAATGTTATCTGGTTCAGTTCCATCAGGTCTGCTTATTCTCCCTCCTCCCATTGGCTGGTGCATACACACTCCTACTTGGCGATTCTTTGGGGATTGTAGAAGTCATTTGTATGTTACATGTTTTGTGCAATTGCTCCTAAGTTGATAAAAAAGCTGGTCATGGCTCAAAATGTTGCTTTTAGTCATGAGAGCTAATGTGTTTTGTACTACCGCTTTTATGAAATAAATGAAAGGATGCGGATATGAAATAATTTTTGCATTTAACGTTCATGCAGCGGAGTGCTTACAAGTTCCTTGATCTTCTGAAGCTGGTGCCATGATCGGTAAACACTTCTTCTACTGATTGAGGATGCTTGTTGCACAATCCCTTGCATGTGGACCCAGAATAGGTTGGTCCTTGAATACAGATTCATACATTTCATGAGGTTATAATTTCCAGAGTGTTTTTGGCACCTGGGCATTCATTGCTCATAAACAGCATCTCCAAAATACTGAGACGAGACGAGAGACCCAATTTATTTAAATGCATTTACAGAATTTCAAAATGTCCTTAATTGTGCAAAGATCATCAGGAAACCCCTTCCAGATTCTTTTTTTTTTTTTGCTAATGTCCCACTGTGGAATTTTCCCCATTTCCTGTCCCAGGAACTCAACAGGAAATCAGAGAAAATTTCCCTATAGTGAGGGGATTTCCAATCCACTACTGTTGTCACCAGAGTGTCAATTTTATATTACCTTATTATGTCTCGTTGACTGGCTACCAGGTCAAAAGCTTTGCCTTCACCTACTCTTTAATGAGCTGCATGCTTGTAAGGGTGATGGCCTCATGGCTTGCATCATTCAAAACAAAATTAGCAGTGGAAGCTTCCAGATTTTCCCAGACCTAACAGCTTCAACAGTAGGAGTGTAATTCCTGAAGTGTAGCATCTCTCGCTGTCTATCAACTTTTTTTAAGGCTACATTTACACATGAGCGGTGTGTGAAAACGTGCTAACATAAAAAAGACAATGCATTCCAATGTGCATTGTTCACACTAGCGCGGTGCAAAAAAGCCCGTGCACGATTTTATGGGCAGATTCCACGTGTTCCGGCTATAGCAGGGGCGCCCACTATTTTTCGTCTGGAGATCATCTTGTCAAATGACGAGCTCATTGAGATCTACCAACGAAAAAACACCTGCATTCAGGGATTTATTTTTCATTATTATTTTTTTCAAATTTTTCGTAAATACCCCTAATATTTCGGGGAAATATTAGGGGTCCAAACAGCCCCCTGATATTTCCCTTTTTTAAAATAGAAAAAGAAATTGAGGATACATAGTGCTCAATCCTTTTTTTCTGCAGCCTCTATTCTAAATGAATGGAAAGCAGAGGCTTCCCATTCATTCAGAAAATATTTACTAAAAGAGCCCTGGTGAGAACCTATGGAGCCCTGGTGCTGTTGAGACCCTATCTCGCCCAGGCTGATGAGACCTCACAGAGCACCGGTGAGAACCTATGGAGCCCTGGTGCTGTTGAGACCCTATCTCGCCCTGGTGAGACCCTACAGAGCCCAGCCCTAGGTGCTGGTGAGACCCCACAGAGCCCTGTTTTAAACAGGGCTCTAAGGGGTCTCATCAGGGCCCTAAAGGGGGTCTAACAAGGCTGGTGAGACCCCACATAGCCCTGATGAGACCCCACATAGCCCTGATGAGACCCCACATAGCCCTGATGAGACCCCACATAGCCCTGATGAGACCCCACATAGCCCTGATGAGACCCCACATAGCCCTGATGAGACCCCACATAGCCCTGATGAGACCCCACATAGCCCTGATGAGACCCCACATAGCCCTGATGAGACCCCACATAGCCCTGATGAGACCCCACATAGCCCTGATGAGACCCCACATAGCCCTGATGAGACCCCACATAGCCCTGATGAGACCCCACATAGCCCTGATGAGACCCCACATAGCCCTGATGAGACCCCACATAGCCCTGGTGAGACCAGACGGAGCCCTGGTGAGACCCCACAGAGCCCTGTTTTAAACAGGGCTCTAAGGGGTCTCATCAGGGCCCTAAAGGGGGTCTAACAAGGCTGGTTAGACTCCACAGAGCCTTGATGCTCTAGTGAGACCCTAGAGAGCTTTACGGAGCCCTGGTGCTGGTGGGACCCTACAGAGTCCTGGTGAGACCCTGCGGAGCACTGGTTTTACCAGTGCTTCTTGAGGTCTCACTAGGGCTCTTTGGGGTCTCACCAGGGCTCTGAGGGGTCTAACCAGGCTAGTGATGAGACCCTACAGAGCCCTGGTGCTGGTGAGACCCTACAGAGCCCTGGTTTAACTGGGCCTGTGTGGGGTCTCACCAGTGCACTTTGGGGTCTCACCAGGGCTCTGTGGGGGTTTCACCAGCCCTGGTTTAACCCCACAGAACCATGTTGGGACCCTACCCTGGTGGGCTCTTTGGGATTTGACCAGGGCTCTGTGGGGTCTAACCAAGCTGGTTAGACCCCACTGAGCCCTAGTGAGACCCCACAGAGCCCTGATTAAATCAGGGCTTTGTAGGGTCTCCCCACAGCTCTGTGGGGTTTCAGCAAGACTGGTGAAACCGCACAGAGCCCTGGTAAAACCCTACAGAGCCCTAATTTATTCAGGGCTCTGCGGGGTCTCACCAGCCTGGTTAAACCCCACAGAGCCCTGGTAAGACCCCACAGGCCTGAGTGGGGCCTCATGTTTAGGTTTTGCCTAAGGCCTCGCAAACTCTAGAGCCGCCTCTGCATGTACCGATCCTCTGCCGCTCGGCCACGCACAAATGGGCTCAGCTTCTCCTCTGCATCCCCCCTGCTCTCCCGGGCAGAGGCAGCGGGGGATCCGACGAGAAGTGAAGAAGCACTTCAGCTGGCGGGGGGGGGGGCGGAACCGCTGTGACAGAACGGACGAGCAGTGAGGGGAGAGAGAGGCGCCGGCTGTCAGATCCTGGGCGAGCGTCTCTCTCTCTCTCCTCACCGCTCTGCATTAGTTCTGTGAGAGCGGCTCCGTCCTCTGCCCTCCCCCGCCGCCGGTTCCTTCACTTCTCGGAACCCCGCTGGGAAGAGCAGCGGGGAGCCAGAGAAGCGGAGGGAGGAGAGGACATGGCGATCTACCTTGTGGGCACCCCTGGGCTATAGTAATGGCCATAAACGTGCGGAGTTTGTTAAGATTTGCGTGTTTTCAGGCCGTGCGGTTTTCCACTTGGAAGACCCAAACGCCATATTTGAATGGAGCCTAATGGAAAGGTTTTATCTCCAATGCTAAATTAACCCATTTCATAGCATGTGTTTTATCCTGTGCCCTTGAGTTGACACAGTAATGCTGAATCATCACAGTTCTGCACCTAAATGTAGCACGACACAGCCGTGCACCCAGGTCACGACGGCGTGGTCCACATCAGTTTAAAGTGGAAACTATATCTATTTCAAATCTATCAGTTTTTATTTTAAATACTGCTGAGTTGAGTC